CCTAACCTCATTGGTCTCGTAGGCCGACTTTCAAAATAAATTTAAATAAATATATTTTAATTGTATAATTTGGCAGTTATTATATTCATATTTGTATGGCAAAAATGTCATTATAAATCTTTCAAATAAATTATAAACCTAATGTTACATTCATCACCATATATCACGCTTCGCAACACTTACATAATTATTTTTATGCCAGAATAAGGAAAACGTGCATATAGTAAACAGTTGCCTAAAGTCAATACGATTGGTTAACAGTGGTAGAGCCCGCTTTAACATCTTCGCACGAATTGGCCCGGCTCGCCCGGTGAAATACCACGACCACACAGAAGACAGGCGTCAAGTGGAAGCAATTCCGCGTTTCGTCTGATGAGTGTGCGTCCGTAGGCCTAATTTTAGTTCTCTTTCCCTTTCCACCCTTTCACTTATAACGAAAAGATGGGAAGTGGAAGTGGAATATCCGGATGAGGGGATGCATAGGAAGGTAAAATGTTCTTTTTTTGTGCATCCCCTATTCTGTCGATCAAAGGTTGGCAAGGTATCTGCAATGTCGGATGTATATGGGCAACGATGGCTTCGCTATTTCATGTGGCCTCTCGCTCGTGTGTCATCTTATCATATAAAAAGACTATTAGGACATCACCGTGTGCTTCATTACAGAAAAACTTTAAGAAAACATATTATAAGTGACTAAGCTTTAATCAAACAGGAATTGCGAGTTGACTTCACACATATCTTTTGAATTACTTCTCGGATTTATGTGCAGTTGTGTTATCATTGTCCTAGATATATCTTACTTATATTATAAATGCGAATGTTTAGATGGATGGATGATGTGATATATGGATGTTTGTTAGACGGTATCTCCAGGACGACTTCATGGATCACACTGAAATTTAGCATAGATGTAGAACATAGCTTGTGAGAAAATATAGGCCACTAAGTTATTTAGTTCCGCGCTGACGACATCGCGGGCGAGTGCTAGTATAGAATACATACAATAACTATGTATGTATATTTTTTTACAATAAAATGTACAATTTACTACTACTAACGTTTTTTTTTAATAAAATCTAATCCAAAAAATGTAACTAATACACGTCAGTATAAGAAGGTCATTTGCCAATCATTTTGCACTGGCATATTTCTTGGCGCATTTAAAAGACTTGTATCACATATCATTAACAATATAACAATAATGATTTTAATAACAACGGAATATAAATACACTATCAGTGATCGAGAGCGTCTGTGGCTCAGGGGTCAAGCACTTGACTTGCAATCCGCAGGTCCTGGGTTCGAATCCCGCCATGTACCAAAGTGTTTTTCGGTTTACATATTTACAATAATCCGACGTTCTTACGGTGAAGGAAAACATCGTGATGCAGCCTGCACATATCTGAGAAGAAATTCAAAGATATGTGTGAAGTCAACTAACCCGCACTAGGCCAGCGTGGTTGACTATAGCCTATATCACCTTTAACTTAGGGTAGGCTCCGAGCCCCTCGGTGGGGACGTATAGTGAGCTGATGATGATGATGCTGATACATACATTTTAAGGATAAAACAAACATCAAATTGATATATGAAAAGTTCAAAGCTAAATTAGATTCTTACTTATGTTACATTTGTTACGGTTGACAAGGTTTAAGTAATAAAAGTATAGTGTAGATTCATATAAAACTTTTGTATTGAAAAATATCTCGATTTAAGTAACATTAAAATAATAGAATAAGATTTTAAAGTATTATGCAAGATTGTAGGTAAAATTACTATAAATAAAATACAAGACATAAAACAAAAAAGATTAACAATGTACCGGGCTATATGATAACCAGAGTGTTTTTGTTTTATTTTTAATAAAATTGTTACCAACCAGTTTTTAAAAAACGTATTTATCTAAGTATTTTTTACAATTGCCAACTATTTTTTGGGTGACTTAACCTGTGAATAGAATCTTCGCGTTACGACAAAGTGCTAATAGATATCGCTGGGAGAAAGTTTAACAAACATTCTTCAAGTTTTTTCATCCGATAACATTTTATCGAGATTTATCGAGATTCTATTTAATTTAAAAAATGCCTTTTTTACTCTTTCTTCTTTAGATCTCTCTTAGATTATTTTATCTATTAATTAATATTTTTGATTACGATTTTAAAATATGTAAGATAAATGTTACATGAAAATAATCGAGAATTGCTAAGTATAGAAGAAACTCCGACACTGTGCCGGTGTACTGGTACTACACTAGCCTTAAAATGTCGACATTTATGTCCCCTCACTAATCATTCTGACACTTAAAAATTATGAAAAAGTAAGAAACAATTAGTCATACTTAACTACTTAAGTATAAAGTACAATGCTATACAGTTTAATTCTTAATGACATTTACTGGAATGACTACATTCTTAATTAAAATTAACTATCATACTGGAATTAATCACAGGTTGAAAGACATAATTACACGGTCCAGTAATTATATGTTAAAGTCATTTAATATCCGTAAAGAGAACAAAAATAATCACTATGACATCATAATATTATATCATCTTTGCTTCTATAAGCTTTGTATTCTAATAAAGTCGTAAAAATTAGATACAGAAAAGCAAACTTACTAATATTATAAATGCGAAAGGTTCGATGGATGAATGTTTGTTAAAATCTTCAGAATGGCTCAACGGATCGTGATAAAATTATGCATGGATGTAGGCTATCATTTTTTTAAACTCTTATTAACCTAGAGTTTCAATTTTGATACCAATCTTTTAAACCGAATGTTCACATTACTATTAGTTTTTTATAGGTTGGCTGTACCTATTTTACTGTTGTACAACATTCTTTCCAACGAAATTAAAAAAAAAATATTACTGTTTTATTTTATCAAGCAAACACAGTAATATTAAAAATAAATCACTTTCGTATGTAAATCAGGCTACTAAGGGTTAATTCAGCGCGGATAGAGTCGCGTGCGATATCTAGTTAATCAATACACGGTAACTATGGACAACCGTTGATGGAACATTTTTTAAAAACGTCATGCTATTTTGAAAAAAGAATTTATCAACAATTTGTTTCAATACAACTGTGTTTCGACAACGGAAAATGACGGTTAATTAAATAATATACAAAATAGTTAATTAAAACCATTTCAGGAAAACGTAAAACCTTAACATTTTAGTTAATTATACATTAAAAATTAAAGATAGTTAATTTTTAATAACTTCCGAAATGTCTGCATAACTTTGTAACTTGGCTTTGGTAAGAACTTATTTATGTCACCTGACCTTTATACTATCGAAAATATAAAATTTGCTTTCTCACATATAATGTGTCCTGCAAATTATATGAATTCTTATTAATAACTGTGCCATAGGTAATTAAAACAACTAGAGAAAAAACTTAACAAATATTGTCATAGTAAATATACATTTATCCGACGTTCTTACTATAAAGAAAAACATCGTGATACAACCGACATATGCGAAGAAATTCAAAGATATGTGTGAAGTTAACTAACCCACAGTATGCCAGCTTTGTTGACTATGGCCTAAACACCCTTAACTTAGGTAAGGTCCGAGCTCCTCAGTGGTGACATATAGTGAGCCGATGAAGAAAATATCATAGCAACATATGGTAATAGATTGTAAAAGTGTGGGCAACATAAAGCTAATACAATAAGAACTATCTTACAATGGATATTATGTTTTATTTTACATAGTTTTGTACTAACAAAACTATGTAGTTTATATGAGTCATTGTTATGGACCGGCAAACGCCTTCCTTCTTTTGTAGTCTATGACCGTACTTTAATCTATCCAGGTCATAAAGATTGTGCTTTTCAATATCAAGTTCAAAGATACTTTTGATGGAAATCATTATTTCTCTATTTCCTAATCATTCGATTCAATAGACATATTATGAGAAAACATATTTCAGATAACAACAACGATATTATCACGGCAGTCACCCAGAGGGGCAGGCAGACCACGAACTTGCATTTGCAGCGGTTCTGACAAACCTCTGTCGCCTTTTAACATTAATTAATATGAATGTTTAGTGGATGGATGCATGGATGTTTGTTTGAAGTTATCTCCAGAACGGCTGCATAGATGTAGAACATAGCCTGGAAGAACATATAGGCTACTAATTAAGTTTTTTTTAATCCCGCGCAGACGGTGTTGCGGGCGACAGCTAACATACGTAAGCAACTTGTACTTGTACAAAAGCAAATATCTTCACAAACAGTATATCTATATGTATAATCAATATATCTTAACATATACTTAAGTCTGTCATTAAGTGGCGAGAGAAATCTCACTCGGAGTTGTGTCACTAAAAGTAAAAGTAGTATACGTAGGCAACGGATCCCAAACACTACGTAGTACCTACTTATAATCACGGTCAATAGTTATGTAACACGATGAAAGGTGTTCCGACTCAATCAAACATCTGCTTTGAACATGGAGAAAATTAAAAAGTAAATCATAGTAAGGAGTAACAATTCGAAGTTTAAAAAATTATGATTACATATGTAGTGGAAATAATTAAAAAAATACGCAGAATTATTTTTTTATGTTATACATTGTAATACTTTATAGGATTTATAATAAGGTGTCATTGGAATTCAACTTTGTATATATAATGATTCTCATATAGCCCATTTTTTAACTTGAAATGCAACCAACTAAAAAAAATATATCTATCATAAAGTTTTACCGTAATTTGTTAGATTTTAATAACGTGAAAATAGACAAATATAGAAAAAAGTTCAATAAGCACAATTGCAAGATATGCATTTAAAACATCTTCATAAATCTTTATAATATATTTTATTGGACGATCCAATGCAATGAGATTGCGTGTAGTTAATCACATTTTTGAACTATAACTGCGAAGGTCATTAGTGCTATGGGAAAATCAACTTTAGGATTGTTAAGGCAACATTCTTGTCCTTTTAATAAAAACTATTTTTTTTCAGTAATATTTGTTGTACTCACCAAGGTCTCGTTGATTATTGTTAGGCCTTTGAGCACTGGCTAATAAAACTATCGATATTAAAACTACACTAGACACGTAACTGAGGCTGAAAAATTGCATTTTTAACACGCTATTTTTATGTGAGTAAAAAATTGTAAAAGTAAAAAATTTAATACGAATCGAAAGATGTTTTGATAGCAAAGAGTTTTTATTGCTAAAAAAATCGAACGTTCGAATTTAGAAACTCGATTTCATTTTCGCGCGGATTCAGCGGACGCGGTTGACGGTTGCCGCGTTCCGTGGTGGCCTTTTAAAACTGTACTGAGACGAAGCGCGCGAGCGCAGGTGCGTAAAACAACGGAGAAAGATCGAGTGCATCAACGAAGGACCATAGTTAAGGTCCCTCAGTGCACCTTAATATAACACAATAAAAACTATTTTACCAAAACCACCATAATAATATTTCAAGCTAAACCAGTCCATAAATTAAAATTAGATGCATCGCATTGCAACGTCTTCAACAAGCAAGGTTACGATTAAACATGCCGATGGAATCACTTCACCTATAACCAAGAGTTTGTTGCACCAAAATCTCTGTATCAAACATATTGGCATCCCTGTCATTATCTTTGACAAATCAGAGATGACAATATGTTTTATACGGGGATTTTGGTCTCAGAAACCCACGGTAACTAAAGCATTTTTTGTTTACTTTGTGACGACACGATCAGTCCTGTCAGAGGCAAGTCGCTTTGCAATTAGTATCTAGAAAAGTGCGATTTTCGTCTTTGATTATAAATCAATATGAAAATTATAACCCCTGACAATAATGTATTAGCAATCTAAACCCAAAGACTTGCACAACTAGGTTAGGGACCTACTACAATGCTACCCATGGTTTTTAAAGCAAAATGACAGACAATTTGCGCTTAGCCAGTGAAGTTATAAGTAATATTCAGGTCTGGATAGTCCATTAATTAAACTTACGTACCTAGGTCTTGTAGACCGGAACGTACTAAGGCTTGCACACTAATACTTGATTACACAAACTTAAATGAACTGAATAGCAGTGTAACCTAATTTGCAGTCTAATTTAAAAAGCATATATAAAAGTACGACTGTCTTAAGTACATTGTTAAAAAATATCTGCATGTTACTTTTTAAATATACAGATTATAGTATAGTTTCTTTTGTTTTCTAAACTTTATAGCTAAGAAGAGATACTCTATAAAATATTAAAATTTTGTGGTTAATTGAAGTTTTTACGTCGGTTTAATTTTTAATCCGCTTTTCATTTTTTGTGTCTGGCAGTCGATATTAAATGAAGTCTACACATATATTTAGTTTTAATAATTAAAATATCTATTTAACACGTTAGCCGCCGTGTCGGACTATATGACAAGCTAATGTTTCAATCAGGCCGTGTCGGACTATGTGTCCGACAAGCCATACTTCCATTCAACACCTCGCTGTGGCTTGTCGGACGCTTTTTAATCGAATTGTTGTTGTTGTATACAGCGTGACCGGCAAGGCCTCATAAAGCTTATAAACAGCGGGTCATTTTTTTTCGGTTTTCGTAAAATCATTCTGGCAGGTAACGTGTTAATAAGCATAACTACAAATCCTGACTGCTGTATTACTAATTTTATGTTTCTAAAATTGGTAACCACAAGCATTCAAAGACGCATACAAATTATAACATCGAATTAAAACCGGTTTAAACATCACAAAATTGATGTTAGTACCATGACGATGATGGTACGTAAAATAAACTATGCAAATCTAATCGATATGAAATGCTTATTATACCGGATTTGGAAGGACACAATTTCGTTAAAAAAATAACCTTCATTGTAAAGATGTGAGATGTAAACTTCAATCTATATGCTCGTACAGAACAATCGCTATAAGTGGAGGACAAGAGGAGGATCTCCCGTACAATCATATAGCATATTTATGCGACGTTATCTACAACAAATATTTTACATTGTGTGTAGCATTTACGTCAGGAAGTGTCTTGTTAATATTTGAACAGATTCTTAAGAAAGTTATGAGGGTACTGTACCAACGACCTCAACATTTATCAGCCATGTCAATTTCCTTATAGGACGATTTTTTTTCTTTGTTGTCTTGTTACACGACTGAAGTATGTAACCATCGTCTTTTAGATCTTATCTTCATTAAGTCCTAGCAGACCTTTTCTTTTTCTTGTAGTATTTAAATTTTGTGACATAAATCAGACAATGAAAAATTGCCCTCAGTTGGAGTTCAAGGTAAACCCTCATAATTATCATGGGTTTCCACAGACAGAGCACACGATTTTGTTTACTTCTTCTGGATAAAGTAAAAAATTATTCGACCATTTTTATATCAGCTGCTGATAATAGTAAAATATGAGCGAGGAAATTGTGCATGCGAACATGGATCCTAAATTTTATTGCCTACATAATTTGATATTGATTCACACACCTTTCAACTATATTAACATTTAATAACTTCCAATAAGTGTAATAACTTCCAATTATAAGCATAATTAGAGCGAAAAAGAAAACAAATCAAGCAGCTAATTTCTTAACTAATTTATTTTAGTCTGTTTTCAAAACGAACACGAACGTCAGTGCCTTCAGTGTCAAATTCGAAAGAAAAAAATAACTGTCAAATTATTTTACTTCGCGGTGGAAATATTATCCGTTTGTTGTTATAAAACTAATTTTAGTTGCGCCATGGCAGGTTTTACTGAAAATGCGTTGGTTCGTAAACTACAAGATCTGAATTCAAGTCAACAAAGTATTCAAACGTTGTCTTTATGGTTAATTCACCATCGCAAACACCACGCTGCCGTAGTCAAAACTTGGTTTAAGGAATTGTTAAAAGGTAACCTGTAATTTCCCTTTAGTGCATCATAACATTTAATTGTGTCTCATAAAATCAGTGAAATTATTATTTTGAATAAGGAAAAAGATTTTTATTGCAATAACTTTGATTACATAAATGGTATTCGTCAATTATCGAAGTTTCTTGAATTATTATATATTCGATTTGATGACTCCTGTTGTCTAATGTTCTACTTAGAACTTAATGAAGATAATAAGAAATATTCTTTTAGCGAAAGATAGTAAACAACTCACATTTATGTATCTGGCTAATGATGTGATACAAAATAGTAAAAAGAAAGGTCCAGAATATGGCAAAGAATTTGGCGAGGTCCTTGTGCCAACTTTCCAACATATGGCCAAAACGGGTATCAATGCAAAAACCAAGCAATCACTTCACAGAATACTGTCCATTTGGCAAGAGAGAGGTGTTTACGATGCTGACAAGATACAAGAATTTAAAGAAGCAAGTAAGTATTGAAGCATTTTTATAGTTTTAAGATATCATTATGAAAAGTATTTAACCTTTACTACATTTTGAAAAGTATTTGATTGAAGTCTGCATTGTTTAGCTCTTGACACAAATACACTCATATTTTAAAATAAATATTTCAAATTTGAGTTTGTTATAATGTTTTATTTGTTCCAGTGGATCCGAATGATGCAATACCTAATCAAGCAACTAAACGTAAAACATCAGAGGTAAAGGAGGAGGTAAAAGAGACTGAGAAAAAGCCAAAGTTAGAGAATAAAGAGAAAAGAGAAAGACGTAAAAGTGAAACAAAAGTGGAAATTGATGGTCATGTAGAGACACATGTAACACTTAGTCCAAAAACCCCACCCGGAGACCCTCCGGAACCTGAAGAATTAATTAAGGTATATTAAAATAGATTGTAAAATATTTTTTTTTAAGTAAAAGGTCAATAAACAAGTTCTAAAAAGTAACAAAATGTAGCCTTAAAATTCTTACTCATGAAGTGAATTTAAAAAATGAAAATATTTAAAAAGAAAACGCAAAAATAGAAGGCAAATAAATGTTTCAAAGAATACATAATCAATGTTATACAAAATCTCCAAAAAGAAAAATTTGGACATTACCATGAATCCATGTTGAAATATTTTCCTGCTGATATACAATATTAAATCTAAGGAACATGGGAACTCTACCATTTTCCAATTTTAAAGACTCATTATCTTTTCCAGGCTTTATTAGAATTGGAATCAAGCGCATCAAGTGATGAGGCGGTGAGAGAAAGGATCGCCTCCCTTCCTCCGGAAGTATCGGAAGTTCAATTATTATCTAAGTTAGCAGGTAACAACAATCCATACCACAGACTGCATCAAGCAGTTTTTGTTAAAACAATTATACAAATAAATGTTGATACAAGCAAACATTTTGTTTCATTTATTACACACATTTACTGTTTTATGCAGTCTGCAAATATTTGAACACTATAGTATGATATCCTTATCTGGTCCGGTGAGAAAAACTGTTAAGCACTCCATATCAAAATTAAAGTGCCAGTGTACCAGTCAGACTGTAGTTACCTTGTCTTTTATCTTTCTATGCTCAACATTATTTTCAATATTTTCCAACAAGACATATTGTCATAACAGCACTGGTCACACCGGGCCACATAAGTTTGTAAGACTATGATACTTAAACTTTTAAATCTGTCCAAATTTCAATAGAATGATAAAACATAAGTCCACACACACACAACCAGTGAAGAGATACATATATACTACAAAAAATTAAAAATCTATGAACCTACAGTCATTTTCTTATTGTGTAACTTCTAGACTTATCAGCAGACTATAGTTAAGTACAAAACAGTGTAAGGTTAGAATATGCAACATGTTTATAATTTGAAAACTATAGACAGAAAAATTAAATATAGATATAAAAATCATTGTCTTTGATCTGGGGATGTTAGTAGTCAATAACTGGGGACTATTATGCAACACTCAGTACCAAAATGAGGTTATCTGACCTAAACTACTTGAATAATACTAGCCTTTAACAACTATTCCAGTTAATTTCCACAATGGTTGGACTGATTTTGACTGGACGTTTGCGGGAAGGTAGCTGATTCATGCGGGCATATTATAGGCCAGTTTTTAGTCCTGCACTGATGAAGTCAAGTTATATTAATACCAGTGTTAATAGTAACACTGGTCGACTATAGAGTCGAAATCCACACATTAAAATAACCACTTCAAAATCAAACACCCATTCCATTGAAATAAATGTTTCAAACATTTATTTCAGATAAGGAAGCAGCGCTCAGTCTGAGTACTGTGGTGAATTCAGCGGTGGAACTGCTGGCTGAATATAACCTGAGGTTGTCCGAGGAGTTGGAGAAGAGAAGGCGGGTTGCGGGCATGCTCAGGGACTTCGCGCAGGCACAGAGAGACCTCGCCAAACAGGCGGAAGCCCGTCTAGAGGTATGTACTATTATGTACCTGTGGAGTTAAATCCCAGTTCCACTAGAAGTCCCACTCAAATAGTAAAATCGAACTTAAATAATTAATTACATTGTATTACTTTGCATTAAACTGAGATGGCGGTTGTGGTTGATTACGGAATAGTGGAAAAGGGGTTTTAGCACGAACGTTTATGGAAATGGGCTGTGTATTTGAATATTTTCTCCTATAGTTCTTTCCGCTTAATAACGTTAAAAATATATTATTAAAGAAAATAAATAAAACATAATTTTCTTCCAGGAATATAATATCAAACTGCAGAAAATATACGCAGTGAAGGCTGAAGTGAAATCACACATAGACAATTTGCCAGATGTGTCCAGATTGCCTGATGTTACCGGAGGTCTAGCACCTTTGCCTTCAGCGGGCGATCTCTTCAGTATTTGAAGTCTATACAAACTTATTTTAATATTATGTATATTAAATACAATATTGTATACAAGTTATAGCTTGGGTAATACAATGTGTGGAACTTTTAACATTGTATACACAGAAATAATTCATTAATTTTTCGTTTTCATGTAATGTAAGTTTAAAATATCGCTACTTTAATGTACAATTTTTTTTTCACGAATATAATTTTAACCTAAATTCTCCAAAATAGTGAGTGAAGCTGTCTATAGCTTGCAGATGCGTTGCCTACTTTTAATCGACAGAGGAAAGGACACACAGAAAGAGGATTAAACTCCTTTTCCATAATTATAATACCTTGCAAGAAAAGGGTGGGAAGGATAAGAGGAGTAAAGTTAGGCTTGTGCGTGCTTGGACGCACAGGCCTCGGACATTATGACGTCTAAGCTAATAAAAAGAGTAGAAATAGCGGTTTTATAATTTGTCTATTGATTACTTATTTAATTTCGAATCCATCACCAAAACATTTAGAGTCAAAATAAAGTTTAAAATTTTCTATAATTAAAAAAAAATAGTTAGGTTAGTTTTACATTGAAGAAGCGAGATTGATATCGTAAAAACATGTGCCTCTTAATGTTAAAAATAATTTAAATGCTATAAAAAAATCTGCAAAAAATTACATTATATCTGGGAATTGATGACGTCACAATTAAAAAAATATAAATTTAATTGATTAGAAACATAATCCAATTTACGCTTTTAAAATTGCAATAAAAGACATTTAGGTAAAGCAATAATTTTAATGGTTTTAGTATTAATTTTTTATATAAGCTACTAATAGTAAAGGTACCTTATACTATTAAATATCATTATGATAATAAAAAAGTGGTAATTTTATGTTGAATAAAAGGAGTTTAGCGATTTGAATAAAAATTCCATAATTTCTAATCAACTTCTGTTCCTTAGAAAAAAAAATCCTCTATAATCTATGACAAAGCCAAAATGCGCGCATTTTTGGATGCTTAAAAAATGTTTCCTGACTACTTTTATTAAAAAAAACTATATTTTTGGGCTGATAAGTGATTCAAACTATGTTATCAGAGACGCCGGTTCCTAGATATTAAGGGCACATTTGGTACAAATAATATGTAACCAAAAAACTTTAGTGAACGAATGGTGTTTTTCATATATTTGCACCAACCATGTAAACGACAATTTTACATATTTTTTTGTGTATACTTGTCATGTAAAAAGTTCTTCATATTATTGATTTAGTTTGAATTTGATTTGATTTTTGAAAAACGGTGCGTATCAACTTTATTTAGTTATATTGTATTGTTGGACATTGTGTGCTATGTTATAAGTTAAAATAAACAATTGTTTTATCAAAAGGATATTTTTTCCAATTTCTTTTTATTTAATGTGAGAAATCTACACTAAGCGACTGTGTCAAAAGATTACTAGTGCCAATATTAAAGTAAGTTTTCAATTTTCCTGGAAAAATTGATAAAAAGGTTCTGTACTATTGTAAAGCCAAATATGGATATTATCCGTGCTGCATGTTGTTGCTGTCGCGTTTAATTCTGTCCGAAAATATGTAAAACCTACATGAACTAATAACCTACAGGACAAAAAAGAAAAAAACGTAAAATGACAACTACAGCACGAAAAAATGGTATTGTGACAAAAGGTTTTTGACATTGACAGGGGTGCTAGTGAGCTATCATAATTTAGTTTAACGTATGGCCGCCGATTCAAATATCCTTGTTGGTCCATACAAAGTGAATAGAATCTTGTAACTCTTTTTTGACGTTGACAGAGGGGCGCTAGTGAGCGGTAGTTTGACTTATACCCACTAAGTCGGATATTCTTGTCGATCTGACGATTTTTATGTCACATCTTACGACCGATTTTGATGTTCATTTATAGAAACAACATTTTATATTATTATTCTTATAATTTGTAAACTATGAGCGAAAGTGTGGTATGTATGAAAAATAATATGTAGGAACTAACAGATCATATCTTGAATATATTTGTTTGAATTACTCCTAAATATGAATTTGAATTAAATGTGTGTGTTTTTTTATAATTTTTAGAGTTCACGTACGAAGAGTTTGAGTGCTTCGACTTCGTCTGAAACAATAGAAAATCCTTTTGTAAGCTATCACATATTTTTAACCACTACACACTTGGGTTTCGACGTAACGTAATTAACATCTCTCTTGTCTTAAAACATAGTTAAAAATTTGTTTGTGTACAAGTCTTTATTAAGTGGAAACACAACGAAAATACTAAAAAGCTGTTTTGTTTTTTTAGTTTTCATTATATTTTTCTTATTACTCTCAGATCAATGACCGTTGGACGAACAACATAAACTATAGACAACTCGTAATGTCATCTTGTATCGGTATAGTGCAAGTGTGGTGGCACCCTTATTTACACGATATGAAAAAATTCATACCTTTCATATTTCTATACAACATTCTGAGCGTAATCTTCGGCTACCCGCTCATGTATTTGGAGCTGGCTCTGGGTATTGTTACAAAGAAAAGTGTTATCAATTGCTGGGATTTGTCGCCGGTGGCTCGAGGTACAACATATAAATAAGTTTATTAATTAAACATTTGAACCGTAAATTAAAAAAAAAATCGTGGTATATTTGCATAAATAATCTATACGACGCTCCATCATCTACATGGACTACCTACTCGCAAGTTTTTATAAATCTTAAGATTTTGGCTTAATTCTTACAGCCTTTCGCCTACCTATGGAGAAATTACAAAATCTAAACTACGCTAAAGCATGTTAGTGATTTAGTTACGTCCCTCAGGAGTGGGTTTCGCAATGCTGGCGTGCTGCGCGCTGACGGCGTTTGTGTCGGGAGCAGTGAGCGCGTGGTGCCTGGCGCTGCTGGTGCATTCAGCGCATGCATTCCTGCCCTGGCTGCACTGCGCCGCGACTGCGCAGCCAGCCTGCGCCGCGCGACATCGACCCCTACCGGAGAGCAGCGAGACTCCCGCACAGTCGTTCTTCTTGTTTGTATAGTAGAACTTTTTACAACTAGCGTTCCATTGACCGAGCAGGTTTCGGCTACTCTGCTTCGATATAAAAATTACACTGGAATCCATAAACAATTTAAAGCTTATAAGTAATTTGGAAAAGGAGTAATAACGTGTTATTTTTAGTAATTTCATCTTGAACTTAAAACGCGACGGGCTGAAGGGTGGTCTGGGCAGCGTGGTGCCCGAGCTGGCCGTCTACTACGTCATCAGCTGGCTACTCATATACTTTATCGCATTCAAACGCATATACAGCTACTCTAAAGTAAGATCTACAAAGTATTTGATGAGTTTCTTAATTACGAACATTTTCATCGAATCATTTTCATTAATTCAGAACATTAGTAAAATTTCATTCACGTTCTTGATTTATTTTAACGACTAGCGGATGTTCGCAGGCAACACTGTCACTGTTTTGGTCCACTCCGATGTTTCAAGGTCATGATTTCTATTAGCATATCTTTACTTTCTTCCAGTTGGTACTATTCAAAGATGTGCTGACATATTTCGTGTTACTGGTGTGTGTGCTGGGCGCGACGAGGCTCTCAGGCGCCGCCGCCATGTTCAATGAGTGCGACTGGAATGTTCTGCTTGAGGGCACGCAGGTATACTGAATAAGAAAATTTGGATGAATCTTTTTAATCAAGTACATTTGAAATCGGGAATCGAAAGAATGAAATTTAACACACAATGTAGCCTGAACAAAGACGATTTCCATGGGATAGATTACTCTTCGAAGAAAAGTCGTACTTCGGGTCTATATTCTGTCCTGTTTTTGATAGATATGGCGCGACGCTCTCGAGTACTCGCTGGTGCAGATGTCAATATCCCAGGGAGTACTGGTGATGCTGGGCTCGTACTGCCCGAAGGCGCCTCACACACTGGCCACCACAGCACTCCTCACCTTCCTCGTGGCAAAGACTAGCTGTATGGGCAGTGCGCTGCTGCTGGGCGCGGCGCACGGAGCACTGCGCACTGATTATGATAACGATACTAATATATGGAGCGGTGAGAATGCTATACTTAGACCGTTCTCCCACTAAACTAGTCAGGATTCTAGTTGAACAAGTCCTGTATTTAGAAGTATAAATATCGTAGATAACAGTCGCAACCAACAGTTGAATACCTATAAAAAATGGCGCTTGTCGTGCCATTAGAAGAGCTTTAAGATTTTTATTTAGGAATTTAATTCCAAAATCGAGAGGACTATTATTTTCTTCTCCACGTTCCTTGCTACCACTTTTTTTTCGTTTAAAGGCGAACTTCACAGGAGCGGTAATAAGTCTTCACTTGTTTTTTGGGGAAATGAGCAAATTAGTGTTCCCATACAATATGTACAAATTCTCAAAAATATTGTAACTTTTGGTATTTACCACGTTTTTTCAGGTTCGTCGTCATCAATAATACTATGGGCAGATTACGTAGCGAGGATACCGGGCAGTCAGTTTTGGTCGGCTCTCGTCTTCTTCACGCTGTTTGTCCTCTCTGTATCCACCACGGTATGCACAAGTCGTATTGCGGAGACAATGACATAAAACATATCATTTTTTGCCAAGATATGTTAATATCAATGTAAAAAAATAAGAAGAACTGAGATCCGTAATTTTGATGTTCAAGTTTTGATTTTTTTTTTGTATTCTTGAAAATTCAACAAGAAAGTTTAATTATAATTTTCTTTACAGGCTTTACTGCTGCAAACAATAATGTCGACGTTCACGGGTCACTCCATACGTAAGATTTCGTGGGCGTTCCTTGTGGCGATCTGTGTACTGTTCTGTTTTATTGGCGTCATGACGATTTGCACACAGGTAACAATATTCTATAAATTTTACGCTAGGACCTTTCGTGTGGATTTTTCATACAGAAACAACACTAAGTAATACCACATACGAATAGTTGTTGGTTTCTGAGACTGAAACAACAAATAAAATAAACATTTAAACGGAGATTTTGGTCTCAGAAACCCAACGTAAGTAAGATAAATGAGTACGGCTATAAAAGTTCTAGACATTCGGATTTTCTTTTCTCTAGGGTGGTCTCTACATCCTTAACTTCCTA